ACAGATTAGTGAATATGAAATGGCAACTTATAAATATTAGTAATTCATTTTGAGTTTTGAGACAATAGCTTAAAATACCTTAAGATAAGATATAATTAAAAAAAAATGTTTTAATAATAAGACATTCATATCGATAATGTACCGGGACAATGTCCCTCTAATTTGGTTGAATGCAATGATGGCTGGCTCATCCGTCATACTCGTGAACGGGTGCTGCATTGTAATAGCAAAATATTGTATTATTGTAAACACGTACAACTTTTTTTGAAAAGAATACGAGCTCAGTTTTTTCTCAATTCTCAGCTCGAAAGCACTCTGAGCTAATGGTAGATTTCACATATCATAAGGATCTGTAATAAGATATTTTTATTTTGAAAGCTATGAACCTTTTGCTTGAATTTTGATGAAACTCAATACTCATTATGCTCAGGCTTTACCCAAAATAAGTGAAGGCATTGCTTTGAACAAATAGTGAACTATCGGTAAGTATTTTAAAAGCAAAAGAATAAACCAATACCACTATTATGGTCACCAGCGAAGCGTGGTGACATTTAAATAAGTTTTTACCAGTAACTGAACAGTCAATAACCTTATGAGATCGCAGTAATCGTTTCATTAAACCGTCTTTTATACAGATGATTTCTTTTTCAATAACGCAAAACGGAAATATAATTAATCTTTATTCAAATAAACTTAATATGCCTGTATAATATTTTTTTATTCAAATTTTGGTGCACTCAATTTGTCTGTTTTAAATAGAAATATTGCTCTTTTAAACAAATCTCAGCATTTTTTTCAGATAAACTTAATTATTTTGTAAGCTTAATTAACTTTTGAATACTCCTATAGCTTTTATTTTTATTATATCTGTTCATCCATTTTTAATAGAAATATAATTAATGTAAATTAAAATAAACTTAATATAAGCACTGTTGAATAGTCGTATAATTTTTTTTTTATTTAAGTTTATGGTTTCCAAATTACCACACAACTAAACTTGCGTATTGCTCTTTTAAACAAATCTTTTCAGCATTTAGGATTTACATATTTAGGACTTAGATTCTTATTAATTTAATTACTATAGGCCATTATAGTAATGTCAGATGTATATATTATTTTTAATACGAGACTAATAAGTAATAATATTATTACTTAATTCATTTGTATTATTCTTTTTAATTGAGCTACCATGAACGTGTGTTGACTGTTCGTCGACCAGACTACAACAGGTCGTTTCGTCATCTATATTAGGTTTCCAAACTATCACCACTTTATTCATTGCCTGATGATGCCTTGGTCGGTGGCGAATCACATGTCACAATATGGGTGTACATCTGATAATGGAGTTTGATCACTAGTGGATAAGGAAGGCTTCCAGTAGAGGTAGTTAGGATTGCGCACTGAATATTTGTGGTCTCACACATGCTAATGAGAAGGTCGCAACTCTTACAGTAGGGGTGGTTAGGTTCCACACTGAATATTTGTGGTCATACACATGCTAATGAAAAGATCGCAACTCTTTCAGTAGGGGTGGTTAGGTTCCGCACTGAATATTTGTGGTCATACACATGCTAATGAAAAGATCGCAACTCTTTCAGTAGGGGTGGTTAGGTTCCGCACTGAATATTTGTGGTCATACACATGCTAATGAAAAGATCGCAACTCTTTCAGTAGGGGTGGTTAGGTTCCGCACTGAATATTTGTGGTCTCACACATGCTAATGAAAAGATCGCAACTCTTACAGTAGGGGTGGTTAGGTTCCGCACTGAATATTTGTGGTCATACACATGCTAATGAAAAGATCGCAACTCTTACAGTAGGGGTGGTTAGGTTCCGCACTGAATTTTTGTGGTCATTTTGTGGTCATACATGCTAATGATAGCGGAATTAAACAAAATAATATAAATCTATTAAGTAACGAAATGTACTTGCGAAAAATAACACCTAATTCGATAAAATATATTATATTGTTAGTTTAGTTAATTAAATTTTTGTTTTAGTAATTGTTATGGCCAATAAACATTTCTATTACATATAAAAATGTACTGTTGTAGTGTACGTTTCTATTACATATAATATTAACAGATTTCTTTTATAAAGACTATTCACACAGCCCTATCTAGTCCCAAGATAAGCAGATTTGGTTTTTTATAAATTCGTACATTATATATGTAAAAACACCTAGACAGCCACAAACAGTCGTACTCATGAATACAAATGTTTGTACTGTGTTAGAAATCGAACCCATCGAATCGGCAGTGTTTGTATAGTGCGTGGAATCAAACCCGCGACAATCGGATTAAGGTGGTGGCTAAACCGCTAGACCACTGAGACCGTCATATACATATTATTAATTTAAACAAGAAAATTTGCAATGTGTATGTACATTTTAAACTAACAAATGGATCCAATGAGGGGGAAAGGGATTGTCAGTAATGTGGACCCATGACCCCATTACTAGCTGCACCATGTTAGGTTGACCTCGACGCGGTTCCCCTTGAAAACCATCGTGATAAATTCTTGGTGAATTTGTCACGATGGGCTAACTGGCCTGACCTCATGTTCGTTTTATCATCCTCCACTGGTGCCCCACCAGGGTAAGCCGTTATCGAAGACGGGGGCACCATTACATCTATACATATAAATAAAATTGGAGTGTCTGTTTGTAATATTGAAATAACCGTTTTTTACTACATGCATATGAATATAAATACGCTACATACACCAAAATAATTTTTTTTACAATTTTTGTCTGTCTGTTTGTATGTTCCGGCTAATCTCTGAGATGGCTGGACCGATTTTGATGGGACTTATTTTAGGTGATGTAATAAGAAGTAACTTAGGCTACTTTTATTCTACAAATAGTAAACTAAACTTAAATTCCACGGGGACGAAGTCGCGGGAACAGCTAGTCATCCATAAAAAAATGGATCCAATGAATTTATCAACAGAGTGGACCGTCTAATTTGTTCATAGCATGACAAATATTTAGTTGAGGTTAATGTAACGATATCGTAAGGTCGTCGAATTGTATTCGGCGTCACATAAATTTGCTTTGGCTGTCGATTCGGGGTTTGCATCGTGTTTGCATTGATTCCAGGCACACGAGAATATTTTGTAAGTCGGCCTTGGAGTGGTAGACTTGCGTTTAAAACGCTGCGTACAAAACGCCGCGTTTGAAACGCCGTTAAAAATATTTTGCTGATAAAATACAAAATTATTTACACAAATAAACTTAACTTAATTTTATGAGTTTTATAGGGATGATAATGATGCACTCACCTACACTATCGGTATATGCTGGCGGAGCACCTGTGGAGGTTCATAGGATGAGCAAGTCAGGTCAGTTTGCTTATCGTGGTTCTCCACGATAAGCAAACTGAACTGACTTTGTGGCAGTTACCAGAAATATACGACGTCATATTTACTTAATCTACCGCTTATTCGGAAATCTGTCTCGTCACAAGAAGATCGAACAAAAAAACTTGCGTGTTGTTCTTTTTAATAACTTTATAATTTGGTCGTTTAAATAATTGTTTTAAATTTACATTTTTATGTTGAAATGCGTGAATACAAACTACTAACTAGCACTAATTCATTAGAGTCAAAATACTAAAGACATTGTGCATGTAGTATTTCAACTAAATAAGATAAAATCAGTCGTAGTAATTTATGAGTGTACCATTACCAAAATTAATTAAGAAGAGATGTAAGGAATTATCAGTAATAGAAAATAGATAAAAGAAAATACGTTTATTTAATAACATATACGACGAACAAAAATAAAATAATGGTCAGACAATTTGGACCTTATGAAATAGACCTCCGCTCAGCATATGCCGTGACGAGGTCACAACGCCGGTATTCTGCGGTAAAAGATATCTCTTTACAATACAATACAATAGTCAAGTCAAGTGAAATATTTTTATTTTTCATAGAGGAATATATTTTTAGACAATTATGGATAACACTAAAAATTTCTTTGACTAAAAACTAAGTATTTCTGTGTGATGCAATGAGTAATAGTTGCAACTTTGTCTATATTTATTATGATCGTATTTAAAACGTCAGTCTGTACACAATGTTGCACTGAAAACGGATGATTTCTCGGCGCGGTCGTCTCACTTTCATGTCGTTGGAAATATATGGATATGATTAATTTAAAATTATTTAATATTTCAAATTAATCATATAGAATTTAATTGTACAATAATAACCAGGGCAATTAAAAAAACACAGTTAAAAAAAATACTCAGGAAAACACACAGTGGCCTAATGCCAAGCAACAGCGACTGTGACTGTTAAGTAGAGACTGTGTTATGGGTACTAGACAACTGATGCAAAAACTTAAATATATAAATACATGGTATACATAGAAAACAACCGGACTGATACAAACAACCATACTCATGAATACAAACGTTTATACCGTATTAGGAATGGAACCCGCACCCATCGGAAGTAACGCGGTACACTAAACCGCTACACTACCATAAATTATGAATTAAGATTTCAAAAGAAGTGGTAATAATTTTCCTCAACAATATTACCCACATATGATTTTATATTAGAAATTCTATGAAGAAAAGCGACTTATTTACGGCAATTTTTGTATATGTCTGTTAAACAGAAAACTCATTCTGGAAACTTCTATGTAATGTAATATAAATAGCACCTGCTATTTATGCATTAGTATAAAAAAAATATGCATAACAACATAAAATGAATGATTTAAACCTCCGTTTATAATCTTCTTCATTAATGAAAAAAATATAATAAAAACAACTTGTAGAATGATAGAAAAAGAAGTAAACCATGTCCACCCAATTCTTTAGTCGGGACAGTTGACCATACCACGAATAATCGATTTGTAAACAATATAAATAATAGTTGGTATACGATTTCAAACAGTTTGTAACCCGCTACCGTGGTGTTCACTCACTACTTTGCTTATACATAACAACGAATGACAAATGAAAAAAATAATATACAAACTAAATATGTTATTTAAAATTACATTTCTGCTATGGTTTCTAATTAAAGTTGATGGTTTGAGTATAGACAAAGTGAGTGGTAAACAAAATGTGACTAAACGTGCAGTAAACAATGGTGACTTTTATCCGGATTGGGTGCCTTTCAAAAATAAACATGGTGACGAACTCGGAGAGTTTGTTCAAGTGGAGACCAAAGCAAAACCTAAGAAAAGGTTAGCGTTACCCGTTAATTTTAAACTGAAAGCTGTAGCTGAGCCTGAAGTAGATGATTATTATGACAAGGGACAAGGAGATGGGGATAGCGATGATGAATTTGAAAAGAAAGAGTGGTCGGATTTAAACAGATCTGAAAATCCTATTAATCCAGCAAAATCTATAAATCATACAGATATCTCCGATATAGATGGAGTAGTGAAAATAATAACTAAAATAAAACCTAATATTCTGGTGGATACTATTAAAAACCTTATTAAATCAAAAGATGGATCTCTCACCATAGACATGCCTGATGAAGGACAAAATGAAAATGACAGTGAAAAATCATCAGAAGATTTAAACACTGAGGAAGATAGTGAGCCAGAAGGAAGTAAAGAAAATCCTATAAAGGTAAGTAAAGATGAAATAAAAATAGCATCTATGAATAACAAGAATGAGGACAATAAAGAAACCTTAAAAAAAGAAGATAAAGAATCACATAAGTATAAAGATGATGTTGAGTATGAAGATGGGGTTTCCGAAAAGTCTCAAAAAGAATCTGCATCGGAAGATGAAAAGAGTGAGAATGAAGCTCGAAAAGCAATGATTCTTAACAGTGTTGACGAGTTAAAAGCGCGTCACGAAAAAGAACAGAGAGCGATATCTGAAAAAGTAAAAGAAGAAGAAATACACATAGAAGAACATGAAAGAAATCGAATACAGAATAAAAAAGAAATAGATAAATATGGTAATCGAAAACCGAAGTTAACAGATTACGATGAATATGACGAGAAAGAAACATCAGAAAGCGAAGAGTATACGACACCAACAATTACTACAGTACGACCAAGACGAACCACTAATAGGCGAAAATCTAAAAATGTAGATAATGGAAAACTATCAGTGTTTAAAAATCCTCGTGCTTATATGTCATATGACGACTCTGACGAACTTGTTAAAACTACAATAAAACCGAAAACAACAACAATCAAATTATCAACACGAAGCCGACCCAGATTCTCTTCACGATATAGAGCACCAATAGACAATGATGAAAGTGTTCGGATATCATTAGTCCCCGAGGAAGTCAACTCAAAGGAACCGACGCTATTCTTCCCTCAAAAGAAGAAGAATAAGCGTAGGCGTAAACAGAAAACATCTACCACTCCCAGTCCAGATAATTATGTGGCAGAAACGGTAGGAAGTACTGCTAAGGATGTAATAACAACATATGACGATACAGCAGCATCAGATACCGTTACTTCATCTATAGATACAGCTCCTTCTGCTGTTGAATCTGCGCCATCAGCGATAGAATCTGCACCATCAGCTGTAGATTCAGCCCCATCGACTATTGAATCTGCCCCATCGGCTATTGATACAGTCTCTGTAAAGTCAGATTCAGTAAAGGACGCAGTTCCAGCTTCAACTGACAAGAAAGAAGAACACAAGTCGGAAGATTACGAACGAGAATCAGGTAAGTTTAATATCATAAATAATATAATATCTATTAAAGTGTAGACACTAGTCTAGCGTTTATTTTATATAACACTAAAATAGATCTGTATTTCTTGAAGTAGGCCAGCAGCTTGTTTTCCAATTTAAATACGTACAGAAACATTAATAATATTATAAAATGGATAAATAAATGTTTTATCCTAAATTAAAGCAAAAATAGTTCTTTTATAATAATAATATATCAGGCAATTTCGACAACGTCATCTAGTACCGACAACTTACGCTAGACAACTGATACAAATTCATAGATACATTTTTTTTTAAATACTACATAATATACCTGGAAAACCTCCAGGTCGATTCAAACAATCATACTCTTCAATACAGATGTTTGTATGGTATCGGAAGTAAGTTGGTATGCAAACCGATAGACAACCGATAGAAAGCCGTCAAAAAACATAGGCATATTGGTCGCACAAATAAATAAAAATAAAATTAGAACATTCAGGTGAAACCGGGACTGGTTAGTTTACTAATAAATACAGAACGTGAAATCCTAAATAGCATTCTTTGTATATTAGCATTTAGGATCTCGTATCCGGTAAATGGAGACCTTTTTCCCTACATGAAAGCATGATCGTCAATAAACCAAGAAAATTCTCAAACAAATCACGCACTACGGGAAGTTGTTTCTCATTTTCATTTACTGAAAAAGTTTTTTGAAGATATGTCGACTAACGTTGCCTGTGAATTTTGTGTTCAATTTGTTTCCAGAATATTCCACTTATTTTATTATCCGGCCTCGGTTGTCTATCGGTTTAGCACACTGCTTATTTCCCTTGGTCGCGAATTCGATTCCTAGCACGGTTTCGGTCACGGCACAAATGGATGATACACTTGTCTGGGCTAACGGTAAACGCTGGCGGGGCAGTGGAGGATGATTGGATGAACATGAGGTCAGGTCATCCATCGTGGCAAATTCAGCAGGAATTTAAGACGATTGTTTCCAGAGGGAACCTCGTGGAAGTCAACCTGACATAGTACATTGCTAGCAATGGGGTTATTAATCCATATTCCTAAGAATCCCCTTGCACAAGAATGAATATGGTCATTTAACAGAACGCATCATTGGAATTGTTTTATCTAAACACTTTATATATAAAAATAGTCACTGAACACCGATTTATTATTCACCTTTTAATTAAAAAAAAAACTATCTACTTATAATTTATAGTTAGTTAATATTTAACAATTTCACTTAATTTGATATTAGTAGATATAACTTTTGTTAACTCATTCAGATTTTGCGCAATATCCTTTATATAATAAAATGAGATATAAGTATATATTTTATATCTCAAATTATTATATGAATATACAATAATTGCAAATATTAATTCTTAACTGAAATCTGCACTGCTCTAATTTGAAACTAATTCTCGGGTCATAATGATTCAACACAGTTTCTAAATCTGTTATTTCGTATTTTTAATGTAATTATTAAATAATTTATTAAATTGTACGAGTCTAAGCGTCGTCATAATCGTATTGAGAAACGTTAGTGAAATAGTCTCTCCTAAATTTAGTGATGTCTTTCCTTCGTCCCATGCTTTCTTTCATGAATCAGGCAATATATCCAAATAGTCTAACAGCATATTTGTAAACTATATTATGGTCAAATTACCATGATATCGGCGAGGAATGCAATTTCTTTCGAATCACGAGGTGAGATGAGTCACGATAAAGTGAATAGGATAACACTGACGTCAAAGCCAAAATATCGGACACCTTTGTGTCAGGTATTTTGGCGTTTGAGATAAATAGTATATTAAGTAGGCTCTGAATTTAATGTCATCGTAATATAAATATATATAACTCAAAGGTGACTGTCGTAGTGATCTATCAACGCACAGCCCAAACCAGTGGACGGATCGGGCTGAAATTTGGCATGCAGGTAGAAGTTATGACGGAGGCATCCGCTAAGAAAGGATTTTGATTAATTCTACCCTCAAAGAGATAAAATAGCGGATGAAAGTTATATGAAACTTTGTCAATTTTAAACCGATCGGGCTGAGAATTTGCATGCATAAAGCTACTATGACGTAGGCATTCCCTAAGAAAGGATTTTGATAAATTCTACCCTTCCATTTAAGGGGATAAATTAACGCGAGCGAAGCCGCTACAAAAGCCATGCAGCCGCTGCATGCCATTATATATATACGTGAAGCAAAAACTTTATACCCCTTTTTACGAAAAAGCGCGGACGGGGGAGTATAGAATTTCGCACACTCACAGTTTATGTAGAGAAGGAGTGTAGAATGCAAAGACTTTTTTTTAATTATGCATAAAAAATACATGATTTCCCAAAAAATCTTACACTGCGTGTAATGATGATGACTACGAACTTTCGACGTAAATTGGAACAGTAATCACAACGTTCTAAAACTACTACCAAGTAGTTTGATAAAGTGGTCTGCTAGTTAAATATCAGATACTAAACTGATATTAAACTAGCAGACCCGGCCACGCGTTGTTGTGGCTAAGGTTCTTGAATAAAATAATATTGCGACTATAAATTGAGATGTGTTTGAATTGAATTGAAATTGAAAATTTGTGTTTAAATTACACACAATGTGCAAATCTAATTTGCTATCGGTTCAGTAGTTTAGGAGTCCATCGCGGACAAACAACGTGACACGTAATTTTTTTATATAAAGATGATATTATATGTGCAATAGAGAATTTATAATATAATAATCTTTATTCACAGATACATGTATCTGTACAATATTATACGTTAGCGAAACATACATATATATTTTAGTATACAAAATAAAAAATATTAAAAACACACACATAAATCGGAACATCCCCAATTTTCAGACACTTGAATTAACATCCCTAATTTTCGTACACTTGAACATCTTTCATAATTGGATTTCGTTACATTTGGACGAGTTCACATTTAACATGTACCCACAAGTTACCCAACGGTTGTTTTCTTTTAAAATTTATTATGGGCTTTCGTAAAACACACAAATATTTATGTCCAATTGAACCCGATCGAATCCGTGGCGAATGGATTGTCTCGCAACTCTTGCGGTCCGTCGGACACTTTTTGTAATTTAAATTAATTTTAAGAAATAACTGATTTGTATATACCCTTCTGATATTACAAGTAGGGCTCCGTATCGAAGTGTCGAAACGAATTTCTATAATCGCCCGTTTCTCTCTTTAGAATAAGAATAGAATAGAAAATCATTTGTTCAAATAAACTTACATTGAAGCACTTTTGAACAGTCATCACATTTTTTTTTATCTACCGTTTCTCATCACAAGAAGAACGAGCAAGAAACTTGCATGTTATTTCTGTCTACTTTCTTTATTCTCCTCTCCATAGTTGTCTCTTTTTTATGTTACTAGATTAGCAAATAAGTTAATGACCACCATGCTAAGTAGCAATAATTGCTTTTAATTTATATAACTTATATATAAAATTATTGTGTCACAATATTAGTTACTATACTCCACCGAAACTTGACCGATTTTTATGAAATTTTATATGCATATTCAGTAGGTCTGAGAATCGGCTACTATCTATTTTTCATACCCCTTTTGTGTGAATATAAACTTCCAAATAACAAAGTTGATATAAATAGATAAGCAAAATTTATTTATCCATTGCAGAGTATTGTAACATTTTGTAACTAGTAATTTCTAGTAGGTATATTTTTAATTTCTTTCGTGGTTTGATTAATGTGGAAGTTGATTATACATTTTTATGGATGACACCAGTAGAGAACTTGAATGAAGAACCAACGAATAGGACAAAGAAAAACACAAGTATGTAATGGCTTAAATCATGCATGAATAATATACTCTTTTAAATAAAATTATTTTTTTCATCGGTTTACAATTCACTTCTTACCCTTTTTGGAGTCGGTTAAAAAGTTTTTGGTTTCTGATTTGGTTATTGAGTTTACTACAAAAATACCCAAAATTCAATATCGGTCTAACAAAGTTTGAACTGAAATTTCAAATGAAATATTTCTCTATTCTATTTCAAAACGTTAGCTCGCTGGGAAATTGTTTCGTAGCGTAACATTGTATCAGACATATGTCAATTACATTCGATTCGTTACATTCCATTCACAACCTTTGTACGGTAATGTAGACAGGACTCTGTGAGATCTTCACTAACTTTTTTCTACACTCTTATATTTTATTTAAATAGGTCCTGAAAGCTGCCTTCAATCATGAGAAAATAGAAAATACTCAACATATATTCTTTTGAACTCACAGTCAATAATGTATATTTACCACGGTTTTATTTTTAATTAAGGGTTTTCAGGATATTGTCTGGTGCTAATACCTATAGCTCTGCGCCCTGCATATATGTATTGTGCTCGCCCTTTTTCAAAGTTCGCTACCTAGACCCATCAGGGATACGATTTGAAGGATATTCTTGGTGCGATTATTTTTATCTCCTCAGGATGGAGTGTATACTTTCTAAAGGAGATATTTTCTTTATGTATGAGTAGGCTACAACCACGTAGGATGTGTAGTTTCCTCTTCAGCTTTACAATGCAAAATCTGCAGATTTACGAGTGTTAACCAATGTGAGTTCTTTTTGAACTATTCTAATGATGTTGGCTGCAGCTGGCTTTTACAGCTTCACCGATCAATAGGGGGCGAGTGTAGATAGCACTCCAAACCTGCGGAAGGACTTATAGATCTGTTGAAGGCCAACTCGACACTGCAAATTAAACTAGCTTATGGCTAAACTAGGCCTATGCACGACAAAAATCTGCAGATTCTTCCAAACTTAAGAGGAAACGCCAGTCCACATCCTATGTGGTTGTAACCCACTCATGTATGAACGAAATATCTCTTTTGGAAAGTTTACATTCTTTACCGAAGAGATAAAAACCATCGCTCCTAAGAATATCCTTCAATTCTTGTCCCTGACGGGTCTAGGTAGCGTACTCTGAAAAAGGCGAGCACAATAGATCTATGTAG